TAGCCGCGAAAGATTTTATGAGCTTCGAAACGGTTGTTTGAAAAGGTGTTGGAAACGGCTTGTGATGGATGCACCATTTTTTTAAAGGCCGGTCTGTCTACGCGATGGACACTCTTGTCGCAAACCTAACGAGTGTGATTCGAATACGTATCAACCAACGAAATACGATGGAGCATCAACGCAGAAATGAGGCATGGGTTGAATTACAACTGTTAGCGACTACGATCGATTGACGGATTTCTGAACAGTTGGCATAAATGATTTCCTCTACCTCCTTCTAGTTCCCTAACTCTAGTTTGGCTTATCTGCGAATGGAGTAGGAGGGAGGGGGAAGCTGTGCATTTTAGAAATTTAAAACATTAGGCGCGACTTAAAAATTGTTCTCATTATCTGGTAATTTCCTTCAGCAAGGAATTCATTTCACTGTGTTTTGGTCAACCAGAAAGGAAACGAGTAGCAAGTCATTGATCTGCGAATAACAGAGAAGCCAAGGTGTACTGGTATAGTTATGGCAGGGAGTACAAGACTTACGTCTATGGAGTGGTATGCCTGTACGTTAATTTGCTTTATTTCTCCTTCACCAATATGAGAGTTGACCAAGCATCGGCGCAACGTGTATCAGGGAAATAATTAAATTAATAAACGAAGCAGTCAAATAAATCTAAAGGACGCAACTTATCTAAAATTCTCAATATTCTCATTACCCTGGGAGAACAAATAAATGGTTGCCTTTACTTCGCCATGAAAGAAAGGAAATTTGTAGCCGTCAGAAGATCTGTCTTCTTTACGCTTTCAAGATGGGCCACTCTCACAACCTTTTTCATAAGTTAATGGTGAAGTGCTGAACTCTGTGTCCTCAGTCATGAATGCCTTATTTTAAAGGCAGAGTCAACAACAACGATGTGGTCTCCTATTTCATCCCCACATTGAGGAACTCATTTATGTCGAAATGAAGAAAGACAGATGGTCATACCCGGAACTTTCATTTTCATATTTGAGCTCTACCGACTGAGGAAGCCTGGTGTGATAGAACTTTTGGCAAATATATCCCTCAAATGGATTCGGCGTTAATCCAAGATTGCCCTCAATTGACATCGAATCCGGCACCTCCGGAGTTTGAAGCATCCCACTTAGACACAGTACCACCGCACGGTTTTGCCAGCGTTTTTTACTGGACACCATTCTATGACAAAAAGTCGATTTAGAAGAAGAAATGTTTTTTACTGTCAATCTGCCCTTCGCCTTCGGTCATCAAGACGAATAAAAATCAGCATGTGATTTACGACAGCCGACAAAGAAGAGATTGACGGCTGTGGAAAGCCGATGAGCGTTTGATGAAAAACACGACCTGGATTGAAAGCAATGTGTGAATGGCTGTGAATGTGCAAAAGGCGCGGCTACAGCAGCGGCAGATCTTCAAAGTAACAGCAATCCATACTCGTACAATCGCATATACAGGATGCATACTGGTGATTCAACTACGAAGACCGATTATGAATAACGACAGCGTACTTACTTAGTGTCTTGAGCGTTCATCTCGCGAAATATCTCTTCAGCTAAGTGTCTTTGTTGCCCAAAGCATATGGGCCTTGATCGAGGATCTAAATCTAGAAACAATACAGATAAATTGCACGCAAAATATGAAATGAGGAATCGAGTTAGTCAACGAGGGTAGAGAGAATGGCATATGAAGAGAAGCGCTCAGTTGCAAACCTTCCCACACATATTTTCAGCCCCGTTTTAAAAGCCAGCTGTTCGTCAATGATGAGAAGACGCTGCAAGACTGTTTGTCGACGCGGAAATCACTGTTTGTGCCCAATGATCACTGTTGTTGTGAAGAACTTAACTTCGTGGCGAGCCGTACATGCCCACCGGTGGACATCTGTTGGGCAAACGGAAAAACGTCGACAGCTACATAACGTCTGACGTCATGAATCAGCAGTGTTCATTTCAACTCCAAGAGGAGCAGGAGCTTCCTGGAGGAAGCAGTGAGCGAGGTGATGAGGCAACAGTGATTCAAGTGAGTCAAGCAACTCCGTTACAGGACAGTTTACTTTGCGTCTGCTAGTACGACTGCGACCGACCACGACATCCACCACCTTCTCTCTGTTTGCACGAAGTTTCTGAAAAAGAGTGCGATTCGAAATGACAACCGAAGAAAACAGAGGAGGCTGCGGTGTTCCAGTCTGGAAATAGCCGAATGAATCAGAATCAGTTGCTTGGCACAGCGTGTGCCTCAAGACTGAGGCATGCTGAGGCGAGGTTTAAAGTGCAGCTCGGCAAGGGCAAAGATGACGAGGTTAAACTTGTGTCACTCGACGCTCAGTTTTTCTTAACTCGGAACACACAACGATCGCTACGCGACGTTGGAGTACCGGTGCACAGACGTATGTCGCGGGCTACTTAGAATTGATCCCGGTAATCCTTCAGAATACACGTTGAGCGTGAAGTAAGCGAAAGACGGAACTTAGCAACGTATCGACATATAAAAAAAGAATTGCACAAATCAAGTGACATTTTCTGCGTTGAAACACCACTCGTCGATCATTACCTTTGCCTTTCACGTTCTCCTCGCTCCTTGGACTGAGGCTCACCTGCAAAACGCGCTGTTCAGGCAGTCGTCAAACGAATGACGCGCTAACTTACCAAGTCAGAATCGCGGTCTTGCGCCAGGCCTTCTGTCCGCAACTGTTTGTTTTGATCATTGAGTGCGATCTGGTATTTTCGCGCCAGTTCCAAAACGTACTCCGGGCAACAGCTAGTCTATAAATACGGGTCACCGATGAACTCGGGGGTAAAATTTGTTCGAAAATTATGGCGTGACTAATTCGATCACCGTTGCCTCTCGCCGCCTTATATGCCGAAACGTAACATTCCAAATAGAAGGTATGTTTGAACTGCTGCGAGGAGGTTCTGTCGTTTGAACATCAGACAAAAGACAAATTTTCAACGGTGCCCACTAAGTAGCCCAAACACTTAATTCGTCATTTCGAAAAAATGTTTCTGAAAATAATATGGAGGCTCAATCTGAAGGAGTTCAAATTACGATAAGGGAGCTCAACTTGAAGAGCTACCAATTTGAACTTCAGACTAACCGAACGGAAATCAAAATGACGAAAAGAGAATTGTTACTACTGGTCACAAGGTTTTTCAACTATTACGAAATAGAGTAAGTCTCTGAGTAAGTAAACGGGGGACAGTTCACGCCTCTGACCAATTCATTTGTCCAGGGCCAGCCAAAGACGTGAAGTGGCGCAGATTACGCGTAGAGGCAACCTCGATTTGCTAACACGGTGCAAATATCAGTTACGGAAAGAGCCGTATTTTACGAGACTAGATTAATGAATGCTATAACTAGATAGGACTATGAGACCTGGGTGTTATAAGAAAAGATGTTCTGAGTTTCAATTTAGGTCAGGCTATTGAGTTAAGAACCAAGATGATACACAGTGTTTCCTGCCAATACTAAACTGGGGAGACATCACTGAACAGATCATATTGCATTACCTTGATAGTTTAAAGGTAGACTACAAGATGATGGATTGCTACCCAAAGGACTACAAGCAACCAACCCGGAAATATCATTTGGGATGGAAAGACGAGATACAGAAGAGAAACCATTAAACGTTATACATGATGCATTTTAATTGTTCATACAGTCATCAGACTTTGTAGGCAAATGTGTGTAACCCATCAGGCAAACGTTTTTGACTTTTCAAACTGGGTCATTTGCCGTACTTTTCAAATGACCTTAAGCGATATTGACAGATGACATCTTAGCACAAGGCAGAGATCCTTCAAATATGCCGAACTTCTGCTATCGAAGAGGCGTGTGAAAGAAGCTCAGCTGTGCTATTCGCTATGGAGATTAAAAAAACAAGGCTGTCAATGAGTAAAAAATATTATTGAAGGTGAATATTGCAAACTGTTTTATTAAGTGAGATAATTTCAGAAAAGTTGTAGCATTAAACCTCCAGGAAATGAGGCATCGTTTAGTGAAGCGGAGGAGAATCTGTCGCAGAAGAGGTACATGCGTTTGATTTCGTCGAGGAAAACTCTGAGCGATCTAAGCCCTAAAGCGTCGTCACTTCGAACCCATTTTGCCGGGGTGAAGGACAAATGTCCAAGTAACCTAGCAAAGTGGACGATGGATGAATCCATAAATCCAAGATCGAATGTAATTCCCATCAGAACAAACTGTCGAATGAAGAAATACGAAGACGCACGGGAATGCTGGATCAGTTTCACAGAAAGGAAAACGACAATAGGCAGGTCATATCGCATGATTGATGGACTTCAGTGGCACATTGACACCCAATGGGCTGCCGATTGGAGTGCCCATTTGGAAGAACCTCGGCTCACACCGGCTCTGAGCTAAAAGAGAGATACGTAAGCCTGTGGTGACGAATCGCACGTGGCAGAACGTGCAATCGCGAAAGTCGGTATCCAGACTAGGCAATGCTTATAACCCTCAATTACAAAGAGGGTCAGTCAATTTCAATAGGAATAACGTCAGGCACACCTCAAACTTCATTGAAACAACCGAGATGCCAATATAACTTCTGGCCTACCCATAAACCGAGGCTCCAGTAAAGCAAATGCATCATTACATTAAGGTAAACACTTTTGGAATGTAATGCGCAAAAAACTTGGAGCAGCCATGCGATGTTAAGCTGTCATCATACATCTGTTTATTCATCTTGATCGGGGCGACAACTTCGTTAGCAGGCAGGCTTTAGCAATCATTTCTGTCTTCCTTCAGTCATTTAAATTCAATGATCCGGATTGAAGGGAATAAAACGGTGAGGGCTTTTATATGCTTTACCATTTATATTTTG